GGCCGAGCGTCTGCAGGCTCGGCAGGGCGCCCGGGGCCCGGAGGGCCTCCGCCAGCGCGGCCGCGCCCTCGTTCCCCGCGCGGTTGCCGGAGAGGAGGAGCACCTGCAAGCGCGGCAGGGCGCCCGAAGTAAGCACCGCGGCCACCTGCCTGAACTCCTCGTCCCCCCAGTCCAGCTGCGTGTACACCAGCCGCTCTGCGGACTCGAAGCGCTGCGCGAACGCCGACCGGTACAGCTCGGCAACCCGCGGGCGATCGTCCTTGCCGTTCGTGAAGCCCTTGCTGTGGAGCTCCGCTTCGAAAGCGTCGGGCAAGGCGGGCGCCTTCCGCCCTGCGGAGCACCTGTGTACCAAGTACCCATAGCTTGTCTCGTCTCCAGTGGCTTGTCCGAGGTCCACCAAAAGAAAAGAAACCTTCGTCAACATTGCCCATGAGGACTCGCAAAAACACCAACCGCGGTCGAAATAGAGTGCAGTGTTGCCAGATCGGGTGTATACTCCAGGATTGTCGTAATCATCGGGGAACCGTGTCAGCATGAATACGACTGTGGCAGGGTGGGAGTAGAAACTCCCAAGGCTGTCCAAGGCCTCCTTGAAGAGCTCACGCTCGCGCTCGAAGCGGCCGATTGCGCCGGCCTCAAAGCACTCTGACCCTTCGAGCCGCTGATACGTGCACCGCCGAGGGGCACCCCCGTGATCCCTGCAGTTCTGATGGATGCAGATGAAGTCCATGAACACTGCCCAGCGGCCAGTGAAACTAGGATCAGGATCTGCGGACAGCAGCTGCAAAGCCCGGCCCAGGATGCGCAGGTTGTGGCCGTGAGGGTCGGGGTGATTAGCCTGCAACCAGCAATGTGAGACACAAGCTATGTGCAGCAGTGGAAGTAGTTCGCCCTCGCCAGTGGCAGCTTTGACCCCGCTGTGGGGCATGAACGCAACCGGCGGCAAAGCCTGGCGCGGCTCGAGGGTTCCGCCGGAGCCCGCCCGCTCCACCACCCACTCCGCGTCCACCAGGACAACCGCCCCGCTGCCGAGCACGGGGTCGAGCTCAAAGCCGCCGAACTTTTCCCACAGCTCCTGCTTCCGCTCCGTCACTTCCACCTCCTCCAATTCGGGCAGGTGCGGCTGCCGCGGACCCCCCGCGGCCTCGCTGGCCTCCTGCCCCACGGCGCTACCGTCGCAGCAACTCCAGCACAAGCACTTCGCAGCCAGCGCGCCGCCCTCGGGCGCCGACATCTTGGAAGCCGCACGGAGGCCCAGGTGGCCCACCGCACCGCAGCGTCGCGCAGCAGATGTGCGCAACAAGCAGCGGGTCACCAGAGGGTCAGAACTGGGGAAACCAAAGGTACCGATACTGCTGCTCCCCGGACCTCTCCCGGAGTGCGTTCTGACCCAGATTTCGAGGCGAGTCCAGCGGTGGCGACGAGGGCCTCCCAAGAGGCCGAGATAAGGGAAAGCGAGGGAACCGCAGTGGTAATGGGCACCTTTTCCTCCTCCGAGGAACTCCCGGTCTCTTGGGCCAGACTGCGGACCCCCTCTCTCTTCTCGCCCTCTTCCACTCCACGATTCGCCTCCACTCCCTCTTCCTCGCCCCCCCGCCCCCACTCGTTCGATTGGTGCCCCCCCCTGGCTCGCCCTCGCTCTCAGCGCCCTCTGCTCTCCTCACGAGGCAACGGTTTCACGGATTGAGACGGGTGGATTCCAAAATGTGGCTCTCGCCTTAGCGCCGCGCGCTTTCGATTTTTAACATTTGCATGAGCTTTACGGATTGAGAGCGGGTGGTTTTCAAAATGTGGTTATCGCATTAGCGCCGCGCACATTCGTTTCGCTAGTTCTTGCTTGGCTTGATAAGCTAACTCATGCCATCTCATGTTGGTCGTTTCTTGCATCTGGACCTTGAATTCACGTTCAGTAACTTATTTCACCTAACCTTGATAACTGACTAGCGGGATAGCTAAGCATGTTAGTAAACCACTGACAACCCTTGCGGGCCATGCATTTACATAGGCATATTAAAGGGTAAAAACACCCTAACTAAACATTCGCACCCCTCAGTAAACAAGCCCAACCCTTAACGACCGCTGCAAAAGTTAACAACCCCCACGTCCACCCAAAATGGGGCCCAGACCTGGGGCCTGGACCTAAGGTCCGGACATGGGAACCGGACCTGGGGCCGGGACCTGAGGTCCAGACCTGAGCCTGAGGTCCGGACCGGGGTCCAGACCTGGGGCCCAGACCTGCGGCCTTGACCTGCTGGGGTCTGGACCTGGGGTCCGGACCTGGGGCCCAGACTTGAGGTCTGGACCTCAGGTCCGAACCTGGGCCCAGACCTGGGACCTGGATCTGCTGGGGTCCCGACATCATGTCCGGTCCTCCTGGACCTGCTGGGGCCAATACCTGCTGGGGTCCTGGACCTGCTGAGGCCCAGACCTGCTCGGGCCTGGACCTGCTGGGGTCTGGACCTGGGGCCTGGACCTGGGGCGTGGACCTGGGGCCTGGACCTGAGGTCCGGACCTGGGGTCCAGACCTGGGGTCCAGACCTGGTGCCTGGACCTGCTGGGGTCCAGACCTGGGGTCAGGTCCAGGCCCCAGGTCTGGGCCTCAGGTCCAGACCTGGGGCCCACGATAATGAATCGGTAATGGGATCGTACTGACATCGACAGTGAGATTACTAGTGGAATCGGTCGTGGAATCGACAATGATGTCGATAGCGAGGTCGATCGTAAGATCGATAGCGAAATCGCTCGTGATATCGATGGTGATATCATTAGCGAGATTGATTGTGCGTTCGATAATGAGTTCGATCATGAGAGGGATACAGATTTCGATTATGAGATCAATAATGCAGTCGATTGTGAAGTCGACACGGAAATCGATGATGAAATCGATCAAAACGGAACGATGGTGAGATTGATGGTGAGTTTGATGGTGAGACCGAGTGTGAAATCGATAATGAAATGGATTGAGGGAGACGGTGGTTCCTCGCCCCCGCCCGAACCTCCTTATCACCCGAAGGGTCGTCGTAGAGGTGTATGTGTATGTGTGTATATATGTATATATATGTATGCATGCATGCATGCATGCATGCATGTGTGTGTATGTATGTATGTATGTATGTATGTATGTATGTATGTATGTATGTATGTATACTTTTATAGGTATATATACATACACCTCTACGACCACGCGCTCGCTACGCGCGCTTAAAGTCACGTGCGCGTGTGTGTGTATGTATATATGTGTATAGGTATGAATAATTTATATAGTGCACACACACATATATATATATATATATATATATATATGAGTTTATATATATATATATATATATCCCTTTCTATATTTTTACAATCCAGGGGGGTGGGACCCCCCCCCCCCCGGAAAATCGGACCCCCGGGATCTGGCGCTTTTGGGCCCCCTGGACGCCTTGCAATGGGTCCCCCGGGCCTTCCGGGCCTCCTGGACGCCCCTGCCGGGCCTTGCCAGCGGGCCCAAAGCGGTCAGGAGGGCGGCCAAACGGCCCCGCGAGAGCCCCACGCGGCCCCAGACAGCCCCAAGACGCCCGAAGACGACCCAAAGAAGACCCCCAAGAGGTCCTCCAAGTGCAGAAAACAACACTTTCCTTTAGTTTTTTTATTGAATTTTTGGACATTCGATTCTTCGGTATTCCGTGCGTCCAAGTCCGCCGAAGAGGCCCCAAAAATCCTCCCACAACGGTGTCAAAGGGCTTCCAGACAGTCCAAAAGAGCTCCAATATGGTCCAACAGGGCCGCAAGATGGCCCCAAGAGAGCCCCGCTGACAGCCCCAGATGGCCCCAAGACGCCTCCCGAAGCACTCCAAATCGTGACCCGGTCGTTCAGGGAGACCGTGGTTGGTAGCAAGGTGGCCGCAAGAAGCCCCCAGAGGCCCCCAAAAGGCGCCCAGGAGGCCCCCAGAGGTCCCCAAAAAGCTTTTGAGAGGGGCCCAAGAACACCTCCAAAGAGGAGCCCCTGCAATAAAAACTGGGGATGAGGACAAGGAGTGGCTCGCAGACAAGGAAGATTACGAGTAAGAGGAGAGGAAGTATAAGGATAATACATAACATTACTATAACGACGATGGCGCAAACGGCAACAATGAATCATCGCTATATTTGGTTATCCTGCATGCCGAGCTTTAAGAACCAAGGTGCATGGCGCGAAGCGCCAATGCAGTCTTGTATATATATATATATATATATATATATATATATATATTCCTCTTCGAATATTCTTATCCGGCCCCCCCCCGTACATAAATTCGGCCTTAAACTATCCCAACGTCGTGGATTCCGAAATTTCCGATCTAGGCGCCTCCACCCGACGTCTCACGCGGCCTAAACGGCCTCCAGACCGCTTCCTGGACGATCCCGAGACGGCCCAAGCCCGCTCCGGGGTGTCCATTCTGCCTCCAAAATGGCCCAAGAGAGCCCCAAGAGAGTCCCAAGAGAGGCCCAAGAGAGCCCCGATTCGGTCCCGAGAGCGCTCAAGAGCTCTTGGGGGGCTCCCGAGCGACGGGGCTAATTGAGGGACCCCCCTTCTTTGATCGATGTCCTCCAAGAAGATGGCCCCAAGAGACGTCCTGGACCCTCCTCTTGGGCCCAGCGGGCGGGCGGGCGGGGCGCAACCTGTCCGCGCGTATCTTTCCAAAGGACCCCCAGAGACCGCCAAGAGGCCCCCGAGACACTCCAAGAGTCCTTCAATAAGCTCCCAAAAGCACCCCGAGAGACTTCGACAGGCCTCTGGCCCTTCTGCTACCCCTCTCTTCCTTTTTCTTTTCCTCCTCCGCCTCCTCTTCCTCTTCATCTGCCTGTTCCTCCTCCTCCTCCTCCTCCTCCTCCTCCTCCATCCCTCCTCTCCCTCCCTCCTCTCCTGCCCCGTTCTTCACTTTAGTATGATCATCCTCCCTCCTCCTCCTCCTCATCCTTCTTCCTCCTTCTTCTCCTCCGTCTCCTCCTTCTCTTCCCTCCTCCTCCTTTTTCTCCTCCCCTTCCTCCTTCTCCTTCTCCTTCTCTTTCTCTTCCCCCCATCCTCATTATCCTCCTCTTGCTCCTCCTCCTTCTCCTCCCGCACATCCTCCTGTTCCTCCTCGCGGAATCTCTCGCCTTTTCGTATTCTGCATGCTCCCCCGCTTCCATGATTACCTCCACGATCGTTCCTGGATGGGCTGGTGGGGAATACTTTTTTGTTCGCAACCTCGCGCGGTGTGTGCGGAAGGCGTCTGGGCACTACTAGCAGTGGCCTCGTTGCGCAAGCGGCGCAGAAGAGAGACTGAGAAGGAAAAGGAGAGGGAGGAAACAGCGGGCTGCGTTATCCAGCTGGCGGGGGACACGCGAAACTCCTCATAACCCCGACGAGCCCGATGCCACCAGTGCACCCACGAGCCCCCTGAGCCACATGACCATCTTTGCCCATCAAGCCGACAGGCCCAATTAGCCCCAAGAGCCCAACGAGCTCTGTGACATCACGCACCACTCCGCCCCATGCGCCATACGGGCCCCAGGAGTCCTAAGAGGCACGTGGCCTCTGCGATCCCTAAAGGCGCCACGGGGCTTCTGAGACCCATGGGCCCGACAAGACTGATGACCCCCATGAGGCCCATGCCCTTTACGAGCCCTGTGAGGCGTCTGCGACCTATGAGCCCTACAGGGCAGCCCGGCGCGTTCTGCAGCGTGCGCTGCTCAAGCCTTGAGCACGTCTCCGCGCCCCGCACCTCCCATGGGTGGACGGCGCGGACGGCCAGCAGCAGCCACGCTTACATGCTCCGTCTGCGGAGTGGCAAGGACCCACTCCGACTTCGCCAACAGGCGCTTACACATCGGAGGCCACACGTGCCGGGTGTGCGCCGCCCCTGTTCTATCACCTGCTCCAGCTGCGGCATTGCGCTGCCAAGAGACGCCTTGCCCAACACCCAGCGGAAACGCCCCTGCGCATGCTCGAAGATGCACGGCGCGCCCGGGCTCCGGGCCATCAGGCGGACGACCACGAAGTACAAACGATTTGGGACTGCAGAATCACTCTTGCACGCACTGTGGCGCCGTCCTTTTCGCGCATGAGGTGCACGGTTTCTGCTGCAGCGGCGGCAAACACGGCGTCGATTTCAACGTGTTCTTTCCTCAAACTGGCGACGATCTTCGACTCTTTCGCGCAACGTGGACTTGCAGGGATGCCACGGGCAAGCCCGTTCACGATCCTTCGACGAATGCGCCTCGGCTAACGAGTTTTCCAGCTCATTCACGACGACTCAACGACATGTTATCCCTCGCCATGCACGAAATTCAAAGCTCCACTCTGGTCAAGGAGATGCGTTTTGGGAACGAACTGAACTCCTCCGAGAGTCGCATCCACGGCGCCATGTACCGAAAAGCGTTCAACGCTAGCATGGTCACGCCCGAGCGGCACTTGCACAACGACCCTGCCGAGCGCTCTTCCACTGGCACCGCGATGGGATTACCTGAAGCCCTGCTACGACACTTGGAACACTTACTTATTCCACATAACAATTACA